CACAACCCCCAGCCCCATCCCTGATTTTATCCCACTCAGGAGACAGGTTTGAATGAAGAATGCCCCATGCTTTGAGAGAGGATGTTGCTAGGAAGCTTCCTCATGTTCACATTCATTGCATTGTGTATTATTTCCCCCTGCCTATATAACTCAGGCCTTATGGCCAAATGTAACACAACTTTGAATATCAAAACATTTTACTCTTTGAGTATATTTAAAGTAGTGTGATGCTATTTTAGCCAAATTCCTAATTCTATATCTTAAGAGTGGTTATCTTAAGTGTGAGTTTTAGGTTCTAGATATTTGATTAGGTGTGTCATATCTTAATTAAATTCTAGATTCAAACCCCAAGTTAGGATAAGAGTGTGTAATATCTCTTAAACACCAACTTGGTTTATCCATCCCTGATTTTCTTCCATTTCTTAACTCCCCATTTCTCCTCTTAACCTTACTCTTTTCTTCCACTAAAAACACCCAAAAGAACTCCTTCATCATCCCCATATATTTCCAACCCATTCCCCACAAAAACGCCCTTCTTCCTGTCCAGAATCACTGCCAAATAATCGATTATCATTCCCCACAATCGATTATCAGTTCCATTGGAAACATCCGCAGGTAGTAATAATCGATTACCCCTTTAAGATAATCGACTATCAAATGGAGGGATTCAAAACCCGATTTTACCTTTCATGACTTTGCTCATTCTGATATGAACTTTAACATGTACTTGTAGCTTTAACTTATGTGTCAGTCACATCAGTGTATACAGTTGAACCCCATCCTTCTGTTTCTTCGTTATTAATCTTCTTTTCTTCATTGTGGTGGATATAACATATCGGTTGGTGTTGATGATAACATTTAAAGATAGTGTCAAATGCTTAATTACAGAGATTGTTCACGACATCAATTTCATTTTTTTAATGAAAATTAATGAAAATATGAGTAGATTTTCTAGTAAGCTTGCAATTAGAGTAAGCTTCTTGAAGTTGTGCGTAATTGGAATTTTACCAAAGATTGGCAATGCTAAGGAAATGATGAGCCTCTATTGGTAAGACTATAAGAGATTGCACAACAAAGGTGCACAACACATGGTTACTGTTCATTGAGACGGATTGGCCTTCTTGGCTATTTTTGGATTAGACTCTAGTACCCTAGAGGGTGTATTGAATGACAATGCTACTTTTCATTTATATAAACTTCTGACTTACAATTTGACATTTCTAGAGGCTAAAGGCTAATTAGGTCTGATAAAAACTGACCCAACCCGAAAATATTGGGTTTTGAACAAAGATTTTGATGACAAGACTCGAAATGACCTGCTAAAAATGGGTCAAACTTGACCAAACCCAAACCCGACCTAACCGACCCGCTAATTTAATAATTTTACAAAATAATATCTTTTACGGAGTAATATGGAAAATAATGTAATAAAAATAAGATTAAGTTTTTTATTTTTATTCTCATTACACATTTTTAGTGTATATTTTGACACAAGTTTTCACATAGTTATCTTATATTTTTTCAAAAGTGATGCATTTTTTAATTTTTACTATTCATTACATTGTTAAACATATCTAAAAATGAATTAAAAATTCAAAATAAATATTCTAAGATGTTAAATATATGTATTTTGATATTTTATTGTTTTTTAATGCAAAATGCAAGTATGGATTTAAAAACTTTTAAAATAAATCTAATTACCCGTTGGGTCGACTCGAACCCGATGACATTGGGTCATGAATATGTAGTTCTTAACCCGAATCCAAAATTACCCAAACCTGATATAATTCAAATCAGAAATGGTCGAACCCAAACCCGACCTAACCGGCTGATTTGCCAGCTCTAAGGCTAATACAAGTTCTTTCATAGAGATATTCTCAACCTAAATTGAGTGAAACAAAGCACTTGTTCTCATTGCCTCTAAAATGTGATTTGATTGAATACTTTAAGATCTGTTTGAATTTTTCTTGTCTAGTCTGACTTGATTTGCTCTAATCTGAATGTTTTTTGTATTGTCTAATTTTCTTATAAGAAATATTAATGCTTGCTATGGTCATGTCTAATGTTTTTTATTTGGTCTCATATGATTTTTTATGGTCTGATATGTGGTTTGAGTAAGGTAAGAATAAGTAATATGTGAAAAGGTTAGTTAAATAAAACACCTAAACTATAGGACATATACTTTCTTTACTTTGAGTGAAATGGTTGCATGTTCTATGAAAAATGGAGTCTGCTATGTGTCTCAAGCATGGCATTTTTAGTTCTCCCACTTGGATTTTAAGATAATGCATGGTAAAAAAGATATAGCTGATGTTTAATTAATTGTCCATTGTTTTCGTCAATCTATCACGAGCTGATATGTTATTTTGCACACTCTGCTGTTGTCTTTTCCTTTTAACTTCTAAAAGGGTTTTTATATGGTTCTTTCTATCCTTCACAATTTTGTTTACTGTCTAATCATGGTTGAGGTTGTATTGTATTTTCTTTTGTGTGTGCGCCACATATGTGCATATAATATTTTAACTTTTGTTTTTGAGATAAATGATGTAATTTGGACTTATGAAATTCTATTTTGTAGAAGGAAGAACATTCTCTGAAACAGGAAAGTGGTGCTGTTAATGCCATGCAAGATCTTTATGATATTGTCCGATGTGATGTTCTTCATGTCAACATGAGGTACTATTGTGGTTATTATTGGAATCTATATTAACTCACTAATGGTTTCATGTCTCTAGCAAGACTGTTTTGATGATCACTTCATATATCCCTTGTAAGAGAGTATGTAAAAAGGTTTACATTTCTGCGGTGAGAGATAGTGTGTGGTTATAAAGCTGAAAAGAATCATTTGGTTTTTTTCGATGATGTTGTTTTTTTATTAATTGGTTTCATGTAGAAGTTTTTTAGGGAGGGGAGGGAGTAAAGCAGCGTGACGGAGAAATGTTGTTGTTCCAATGGCATGATCCACACCTCCTCATAATAATGGGTTTACATGACCATGTACCATTAGATTGTGTACCACAAAGTTGTTGGGGAATTGACCTTTCTCAATTCACCGCTTCATATATGCTCTTGTACTCTCATTCACACCAAGAAATAATGTGGAAAAGTATTTTTTTATTGTATAGTGAAGTGTACCACTTAGAGGGGTATATTAATACCATTTTCATTCCTTCCCTTTTTATCCCTCTTGCTCCTTTGGTTTTTTTTCAACTAGAAAATATCAACAATAGAAAAGTGGTTGGAGAATTTTGTGTTTGATGTTTTTGTAGCGTGAGATGGTGGGTGGTTCTAACTAGAAAATTCTTGTATCGTATTTTAATTTTTTATTTTTCTGATGTATTTTTTTGAAACTAGAAAAAGCATACAAAGAAGTTGTAAAAAAGTCAGAAAAATAGAGTTTCAGACTTTGTGCATCTTTGTTTCTAAATTATTTTTTTATTTATTGGTTTTCTTCATACCCTTCTCTCTTTGATTTTCTTTTTTTTCTTTCCTAGATCATGGGAATTTAAGTTTGACTTTTTGGGTCCAATATTACAAATTTTTGTTCTGATTTGAGGAAAACTTAAATATTTTTCAAATGTAATTTAAAAAATTGGATTCATTTTGAGTTGTAGATTTGAAATGCCAATTATTTATAGTACTTCCTCTGCCTTGAAATAATCATTTCACTTGATTACTTACAAGTCAACTTTTTTTCTTCTTTCTTTACTTATTTTCGTTAATCATCTCTTAAAACATATCTTTCACACTCTTATCCTAACTTGAGGTTTGAATATAGAATTTAATTAAGATATGACACACTTAATCAAATATCTAGAACCTAAAACCCACACTTAAGATAACCACTCTTACGATATAGAATTAGGAATTTGGCTAAAATAGCATCACACTATTTTATAAATACTCAAAGAGTAAAAGGAGTTTTAATATTCAAAAGATGTTCTACAATGGCCATAGAGCCTGAGTTTATATAGATACATAGAGGAGACTCTAAGGTCTCTTATTCACACAAATCAAAGGAAACACAAGAGTCACTCATTCTTGTCCTTTGGGTTGGGGAAAATCAAAGATGGGGGGTGTGTTGTAGGGTCTTTAGTGAAGGTACATCAAGGGGGAATGAATGGCATCTCCTTTGGTGATTTGGAGGGGAATATTTGGGCCAAGGGGGAAGGGGTTGTGCAGGAAATGGCTGGTTTTTTTGGGAGCTTCTTGAGGCCATTTTATGGGGAACAAAGTGAAGTCTAATTGGTGGGATGGTGGGCCATTATGTTTTGGATCATAGTGGTTGTTTGTGTATTCAAGTTGATGGACATAATGGGAAGCAATAATGGGGTTATGGCATGGGTTTGGGGAGGGGTTTTGGCTGGGTATTTTCAGCCAAGGCAGGAAAGGATCAAGAGCAAGGTGCATCTTTTATTAAAAGGCTGAAAAGAAGGAAATAAGAATAAACAAAAGGTTTATGGTTCGTCTTCTAAATATTTTCAGCCATGTGGTGGAAATAAGTGTAGGAAGACTTTATTTTTGAAAGGAAATAAAGAGCAAGGTGTTTTGGATGTTCAGGGTGGGTTTGAACATGGTTGGGGTGGCCAAGGGGGTTCAAAAACAATAAGGGTGTTGGGTGGCATTCCTGAATGGAACAAATGATTGAAATCAACCCAATAAGGATTATAACACTTAATCAAGAATCCTCTTATTTGTTGGAACACTTGTGGCACGTTCAAGAGTTTGGGTTGGGCATGCCCGGATATAACACGTACTCTCCATTTTTGCCAAGCAAACCCCTTCAAAGATCAAAAGGTTGACTTATGAACCATGGGTTGAGGTAAATATGCCCTTGTGCCCTCGCAAGAATGATACACCCGATCCCTCACCCCAAAATGGCAACCAAGAAATTTTGTTATCACTAACGCCCTTTGGTGCCAATATATTTGTGTTTAATTTGTAGGGAAATCATGAAGGAATACAAGGAAGGGCGATTACTAACGTTAAGTTCCCAAAGAAGAATTCTTAGATTTTCATTACTCAAGAACCAGGACAGGGTATGATTGGAGATTGTGATGTAAGCAAGTTCAACTCCAGCCCCGATGAAAAGCCTAAAGAAAACTCGAGTTTGAGGGCAAACTCTTCCGAAGAAGGGAAGGATGTTATATCCGGGGTCACCGCATCCAAGCTGCGAGACATAGTTCAAATGTTCAAGCAAACAAAGGAAGCCATGGCTAATGACTTTGCTCCTTTTTGGGTGGAAACCAGCCTTGAACTACAAGGCCCAGCCATAACCCCTTGGAGCCCCCATTTCCCATCTAAAATTGAACCACCCTCACCAAAAACCAAGTCCCAAAATATCCAAAAAAAACAGCAAATAACTCCATCTTCATTCCCATAATTCCACTTGTCCATCACCTGCATACCCCCATCACCCTCTATCCGTATTGCTATCCTGAGAGTAACAATCGATTGTTGAACACTGAAAATCGACTAATGCACCCTCTTGATTTTCCGGGGCATCAACAGCAAGCCCAAATAATCGATGATCAGTTATTGATAATCGACTATCTGCCATCCCTGAAACTCCTGGGTTTAATAACACCATGCAATAATAACCAGCCCAAAAACTACATTATTTCCTCCCCCTCTCCCCTTCACTCCTGGCCAAAAATCCCTGCCCAAAACCCATGCCATAATCCAATCCTTGTTCCCCATTATGTCCATCAACTTGGATACACAAATAGCCACTATAATCCAAGACATAATGACCCACCATTACACCAATCAAACCTTCCCTTATTCCCCCATAAAACTACCCACAAGAAACCTCCAAAACACCAGCTCCCTTCTGCACAATACTTTCCCCTTTGGCAAAATAATCCAGCCATTCATTAATAAAATTGGCTTTCATTCACATGCTAAGCAACTCCACAATCCCAGGCACACATCTTTGATTTCTTTCCATTAAGGAGACAAGAATAAATGAGTATTATCCCATGTTTTTGAAATAGTTGTTTCCAGGAAGTTTCCTTATGTCTACATTCAATGTATTGTGTTTTCCTTCCCCCTTCCCCTGCCCATATAATCCGGCCATATGGCCATTGTAAGAAACAACTTTGAATATCAAAACCCCCTTTTACTCTTTGAGTATTTATAAAATAGTGTGATGCTATTTTAGCCAAATTCCTAATTTTATATATTAAGAGTGGTTATCTTATGTGTAAGTTTTAAGTTGTAGATATTTGATTAAGTGTGTCATATCTTAATTAAATTCTAGATTCAAACCCCAAGTTAGGATAAGAGTGTGTAATATCTTTTAAGCACCAACTTGGTTTATCCACCCCTGATTTTCTTCCATTTCATACCTCCCCATTTCTCCTCTTAATCTTACTCTTTTCTTCCATTAAAATACCCAAAAGAACTCCCTCATCATCCCCCATATTTTCCCAGCCATTCCTCACCAAAACTGCCTATAATCGATTGTCGCCCTTGGCTAAATCGATTATCATCTCACGTGAAAGATCTGCACCCATCAATAATCGATTTACACCATCTTGTAAATCGACTATTACCCCTTTCTAAAAAATCTGCCAAAATCTCTCAAGAAAC